AATCACTTAAGGGATCATCAGGGAAATATATAAAATCCAAATCACAGAGCTTTTTGGCTGCATTTTATATATATGCAAATATATGCAAATCAGAGTTATTGAACATTACCACTCTTTAAACCACAGATGTTGCTGCATCAAAGTCTTTATAGGGCTACACCCACGTTTCAAAATAAAAAATTATGAAGCTTTTCTGGGTTTGGCACTGTCACTTCTCTTCACCCATACAAGGTTGTATCGGTTTAACTTAGAATACATACTTATGTTATGGTATTTGTGCCCTCTGCTAAAACATGAAAACATTTTAGAATGAATTAATATCTCAATGACAACTCTGTTTCCTACTACTGTCTTTAGTACCTGCAAGCCTGGAGAATCCAGAAAGTGTGGTAGTTTCTGTGTCAAACATCAGTGCCCATGTTGGGTCCCAAGCTCACCTTGTTTGCCAGAGTTACCGGATAGTGTGGACACAAGACAATATAGTGGATAGACAACGCGTTTTGCACTGGGATCTGTACAGTAGCAAAGGAGTACACCGTGGTGAACGTCTTCTGGATATGTTTTCAGCTGGGGAGATCCGTATCTACAATGGCCACAACAGAGATCGGATACAAGTTTCAACATCAGCTTTCAAAGATGGCAATTTTTCCTTACTTATCAAAGGTATTGAATATCTGCTGTTAGAAACCCTTTCTAGCCTTGAACTCAAATCCATTTCATACAATTCACAAAAAAAGAAAAGAAGAGTCTTCAGTTGGTCATATTCTGAATAATAGTGGGTACTCACCCAATTGTGTGCCATTCTAGATGAAAGATCCACCAAGTTTCAAAAATTCAGCTTCCAAGGAATTTCATTGATGTTAAAAACTGTTTTATAGTCAATATGTAATGGTCATTTTTCATAGCTTGAGTATAAGAATATTAACTAGCATCCCCTGATTGATGGCTGAGGTCATCCCCTGATTGATGGCTGAGGTCATCCCTTGATTGACGGCTGAGGTGATGATTAGATCAGCCAACAGTCAATCTTGGACATAGATTTTTTTTAATGAAAAATCATTGAGGGCTTCAGCTGTCACTCTGAGCTAACAATAATGGGTAAGATGCCTAAAATATCCATTTAACAGGTTGTGTGTTGTTGGTGCAAACATTTAACAGGGTGTGTTGGTGCAAACATTGCCAAATCGTATTGATTCAATAAAGCATCGCAAAAGAAATACAAATGTTATACCGTGTGACTGACATTACTTGACCAAAACAAGGACTATACATTGAGTACCTTCTTACTTCCATAAACTTTTACTAGAGTTTTTAATAATGTATCTTTATAAATTAGATGAAGCCATACTTTGTACCAGAGAGAAAGGCGACACAGGTCACAAGACCAGTAGGCAGGTAAATTAGTTGAAATATAAACCAAAACCAAATTCCCAGGGCTGGATTTTATCCCCTTGTTTTAATGGATTATATTGATCAACTGTTCCCAACTCGGTTCTCAAGGGACACCAGTGGTCACCAGGTTTTAGATATTTCCTTCTTAAGTTTCATGGAGATATTGACAAAACCAGACCTGTTGGTGTGCCGTTGTGACTGAGTTGAGTATCACCGATGAAGACAATGCATAAAAACATACAAAACTAAGAAGAGGTTTATGGAAAAGTAATTATATATCCTTTTTCAGAAGAAAGTAGTATTGCCCATGTCAAACCCAGCTGTAACTAGCTGGATTTACAGAGTTCTTGATTGGGGATATTAGGTCAAATAAACCATGGTGGGGATTTTGTTCCCTTTTTCTATTTTATTATTTTGTTGTTTTTTTCCAAGAATAAAATCTATTGCAGGCACGCATACATTCTCATCAAATACAAAGAGTGCATGTTGTAGCACCTGACTATTCTACAGATGTCACTGATGACAACATACATAGCTATACTATTTTGTAGCAAATAAATTATCGCTGCAGGTTAAGAAGAAATAGATAGGTGAAGTGGAAAAATGAACACCAATTATTTATAGAAAAAAATAATAAAATTGCTCATAAATAAACTCAGAGCTTCAAGGACACTGTAGTGTCTAGAAAACAAACTTGTTTTCCTGACACTATATCATCCTTGGGACCCCCCCCACCCTCAGGATCCCCCTCCCTTGGCGCTGAAAACCCCATCAGATACTTACCTTAATCCAGAGCCGGGCTCCCTCAGCGCTGGTGACCTCTCCTCCCCTGCCGACGTCAGCTCCCGAGTGGAGCGGAATGCCCATGCGCAGCAAGAGCCCCGCGCGCATTCAAACATTAAATAGGAAAGCATTACTCAATGCTTTCCCATGGACGTTCTGCACGCTGGATGCGATTTTTACATTCAGCGTCGCAGAAGCACCTCTAGCGGCTGTCAGGAAGACAACCACTAGAGGTTGGGTTAACCCTGCAATGTAAACACAGCAGTTTCTCTGAAACTGTTATGTTTACATCTGAATGGTTAAAACCTGGGGGACCTGGCACCCAGACCACTTCCTTGAGCTGAAGTGGTCTGGGTAACCCTTTAATTAAATGAAATACGGCCTACACATGTAAACGAAAATATGTGTGTGCCTGATGTGTTCCTTTAAAAAACCTCCAGCCAAATGGAAAGAACACATAGCCTGTATTTTCAGAATGCATTTACAGAAGTATGATTAATTTTTTTACAATATGCAGCATTTTATTAATATCTCATATTCTTCTAAAATAATTGAGATTTGTATACTCATTGGTTTCTTGTACTGTTTGCAAATTAAGACTTCGTATCCAACCTAGGCCTCATTTTCATCTTGACAAAGTGTTTTGATTTACAAAACAAATCGATTGCTGACTGTTAGCCGCAATTACGAGAGAGCCAAAATTTTGGGGAATAAACTTTTTTTTTAACATGCAACGCACAAGCAGTGCTTAATCACCGTGGCAACTAGTATTTCTTAGTTAACATATTTTGTTTATTGGATTGACTACCACATTGTGAAACGCATTTATTGATGAAACCAGGACAAATATAAGAGAAATGGAAGATTTGTGACATTTAAACACGAGGTACCTCTAAAATAATTAACATTGCTACCAAACATACTACCAAATAATGATAAAAAAAACAACAACAAAAAACAGCAATAAAAGAAAGCATGAAAGATGTGACAATTAATTATATTACTTTGTAGAATTATCCATTAGATAATACATAACGCAACTGTATCATTATTTTTTCTTGTAGACGTTTCTTCAGTCGATCAAGGACTGTACACTTGTAATCTTCATCATCACTATTGCCAGTTGGCTGAAAATGTGAAAGTTCAACTGAACACTACCAAGTCAGGTGGGTATATCACCGAAATTTGGAAAATAAGTGCACTTCAATCCCCATCATCCAAATATGCTGACTTGCATCACTTTTAATAACAAACAAATTAGCAACAGTCCAGATATTGCAGCAGTCAAATGGAATAGGACACGGGGAAGACACGTGTGAACATCAAATTTCAAAATATGATAAAATTACACTTTATGGAAAATGCTGTGCTGGCAGGATAAGTAATAATTGTAAAGAACTGTAAAAATGTTCACTTATGAGGCTTTCTTGATACCACCACTTGGTACAATTTGAAAAATCATACGGTATGCCAGAGGGAGAGGGATGTAAAACTGGTGAATGTGGCGTCGGTGACGATAAGGTTATTACCATGAATTGCTGGGAATTGTCCACTGTATTTCAAATTTAACTGATCTAATAACATTTGGAACCAAGAATTTGGGGGCTTCTCATCTTTGGCTTTTTTGGGAAAGCAAAAATCAGTTCCTGATAATTTGCAGCTGAGTGAATCATCAGTTCCTGATCATTTTCTACTACGTTTTATTCTTTAAAATAATTGGAATCACATGCATCTTTAAAACATTCCTCACTTCAAAAATTATGCTTATTAAATGTTATTTTTTTAAAAAAAATTTTTATTGGTTTGTAAATCTGTAAGAATAATAAATGAGTTATTTTGTTTTTTGTTTTTCTGCCAAAAAAAAAAGGTTCCAATGGAAAGGTTTCTTTGTTCATTTGTTTTATGAGAGAATTAGCTCACTAGAGGAATTCAGCTTTTGCACAGATGGTCTGTTTGCCTTGTATTGCAAAAGCGAATACATCAAAGAAAAAGGTTGCCTACATGTGCAATGTTTTATGTATGTTTTTCTTCTTTTCAGAAAAGAGAGTGAAAATGTACTGGGATGGAGAAAAGGTGGTTGTCGTTGCTCTCATAGGTACCACAGCTATGTTGCCCTGTGAAAATTGGAACCAGATGTGGATTGACCGTCATAGTGAGGGGGACCAACAGGTGGTACACTGGGACCGCCAAGCCCCAGGGATTCCACATGACCGAGCTGATCGCCTTATCGACATGTATGCGTCAGGAGAACGACGATCATACGGACCACTCTTCATCAGGAAAAAGATGAATGTGACTGATTCAGCCTTTTTGCAGGGAGATTTCTCACTTTTTATATCAAACTTGAGTCGAGGAGATGAAGGAACATACTCGTGCCACCTTCATCATCATTACTGCGGACTTCATGAGCGAAGAATTTTCCACCTGCTTGTGACTGATCCTCCTCAGCAAGTAGAACCACCTACCAAAGCAAACCGAGATCCTCCTCCAGCTGTAGGTAATGTTGGGTGGAAATGAAACACACATTGTACAAAGCCATGGGGCCTCTACAACAACTCTGTGACAATAGCCTGGCAATGGAGTAGGGGTACACCCTTGCCTTACTGTTCTTAAAGAAACACTATAGTGCCAGGAAGACATACTCGTTTTCCTGGCACTATAGTGCCCTGAGGGTGCCCCCACCCTCAGGGTCCCCCTCCCGCCGGGCTCTGGGGAGAGGAAGGGGTTAAACTTACCTCTTTCTCCAGCGCCGGGCGGGGAGCTCTCCTCCTCCATAGCGACGTCATCGGCTGAATGCGCATGCGTGGCAGGAGCTGCGCGCGCATTCAGCCAGTTCATAGGAAAGCATTTAAAATGCTTTCCTATGGACGCTGGCTTCTTCTCACTGTGATTTTCAAGAGAGACAGCCACTAGAGGCTGGATTAACCCTAATATAAACATTATGTTTATAAAACTGCAATGTTTATAAAAAAAAAGGGTTAATCTTAGATGGACCTGGCACCCAGACCTCTTCATGAAGCTGAAGTTGTCTGGGTGCCTATAGTGGTCCTTTAACCTTAAGTAATTGTATAGTTAAAGTTCTCTTTAAATAATTTTACTATTATCGGGGTAAGACAAGTTTGTCACTTTGATTCAAGTTGTTTTTCAAGTATCAGAATCTGTGGTTTTAGGGCACACCAAACGTGCTGACAATTTTAAATAAAGTAGTGTAGTAAATAGTTGAGAAATGTACATTCCGGTAATTGACACAGGATTCAGGAGAATATATTACCTTGTAGAGCAGAACAGTATAACTGAATTCCTAAACTGGTGTGTATGATGCTATCTAAAGGTAGGTCTGTCCATTCTCCAGCTGTTGTTTTTTTGTGATTTTTGGTTTATTGGGCAATGCAAACACATGAACACTATACGTGCATGACAAAATAGCATTAATATATTGGATTGCATTTTAACACTACCGTATAAGCTATGGTTGACAAAGCATTATTGTATAGCTAACTAAATAAGCATGTCTTTAAACAAACAACTACGAAGAATAAACTTTTATGCTAAACAGAAAATAGGGGAAAGAAATAAAAAAAAAATACAAGAAATGGAAAGGAGTAGGTATTAATGTTATTCACTCAACAGGGTCTTTTCCTGGTGACTATCCAAAATCGGACATTTCATTTATAAAAACACAAACAAACACAAAAACAGAAAAAACAAACAAACAATACAGCCCTTAAGAAAAACAAAAGTATGCTGAAATAAAATGTAAATAGTATAACAAATTTTACTCATGGATCAGGCCGAAACTTGGCTCATTCACTTGCAAGTGCTTTTTGCTGGTTCTAGAGTAGATGTTATCTGTGAAAATGTAGAGTAGTTCTTTTTGTAGGCATATCAAGTCATGGCTGTCAGAATGCCATAAGGGAACTGTTTAAGGAAATGTTGTTTTCTGTCCATCTTTTTTATTAGGGCCAGATGAATGCCCCTACGTACAAAGATGATGTGTGATGTGTTTGCATTAAACTTACCAAGGTATAAAGTTGAGATGGACCTAGGAAGCTAAATTTCCACTAATAATAGTTTTTATGTGTACCCGCTGTACCCACACACGTACTCTTTGATTTGTAGAAATATGCAGTTTTCCATCGCCTGTGCTTGATATATTTGTGTGCGTCTGAAGGGTGTTATGCTTATGCTGTCTGTTATAATGTTTTCATATTCGTAGAAACCAAAAGAGTGCAGGAAAACAAAGTCATCAACGTTATAATCCCAGAAAGTCGGATTCATTTCTTCCATCAACTTGGATACATCCTGGCAACTTTGTTACTGTTCCTTCTGTTAGTCACAGCTGTGATCCTCATCACCCGCAAGCATCGGAGACGAGGTAAGAGCCATTCCGAATATCTAACACGTGGCAAATAACAGAATAAAAGTCTACCAGGACAATTATTAGTGTGATGCAAAGTGATTATGGTGCAGAGCCTGTGGGAGCCATCTCCTCGGTTTTGGTCAAATTGGGCTCTCCAGATTAGACCATCCAACTTTATGATGCAATGATAAATAGCAAGCACTACGCTAACGACTGGTGAGCTGGGCGCGTATTATATAATATTAAAAAATGTGTTTGTAGCATTATCACTTTTGCAACACACATTTCATTGCATTAATATTGTTTACCATATACCCATGCAAACACACACACACACACTGACACACTACACAAATATACCTGTTCATTCACTCATACGTGCACACAGACTAGTAAATGCATAAATTAATGCGCAATGCACATGTCATGTACGTGTATCAGCCTGTCTTCACCCTTACCCCTGCCAGACTAATTCTAGCAACATTAAAAAAGAAGACTTGCAAAAATGATGCACCTGCTTACGTGGGGGACAAACCAGTGGTGGCATAAGGAGTCCCCATGAATTAGCAGATCAGAAAAATCATTTCTCGTCTCTTAATTTTTATCTCTTCGTTTTCCATAATAACTCTACAGATTTTTTATTAAACATTTTTATTGCCAACTCAATAGTTAGTCTGGAAGATTTCCTTTGATCAAGTTCTCTTGTATGAGCATCCAACTCCCTTTTAATATGTGCCAAATATTCTAAATTCAATTCAGGTGGTTTTGTATAACAAAACTCTACTATTTCTTTTTAGGGTATGCTTACAACTTGGATAAACCTGCAGGGTGAGTAATTATTCAGATTTTATTATAATAATTAGCCATATTTTTAGTGTTTGTACAATAGCCTCTCGTGTAATTATTATAATGAATGTCTCACATTTCTCCTGTCGAAAATTCTAAATATTATTACTGTGTGAACTAACACAACACTTCACAAAGCATTGTATTCTCAGATATATTTAAAGGGATGCTATATTCACCCCCAGGTTTTAACCCTCCAGATGTAAACATAGCAGTTTCAGAGCAGGGTTAATCCAAGGCGCTTCTGCGATGCTGGATGTGAAAATCACATCCAGCGTGCAGAACGTCCATAGGAAAGTATTGAGAAATGCTTTCCTATGGACTGTTTGAATGCGCGCACGGCTCTTGCCGCGCATGCCCATTACGCTCCACTCGGAGTTGACGTCGGCGGGGGAGGAGAAGTCACCAGCGCCGAGGGAGCCCAGCACCGCATAAAGGTAAGTGGCTGAAGGGGTTTTAACCCCTTTAGCCCAGCGGTAGGGGGACCCCGAGGGTGGGGGGACCCTTAGGATTGTATCACGAGTTGTTTTCCTGACACTATAGTGATACTTTAATACAACGCTTGGTATAGCATTCAAGCTATCAAAATATGGTCTACTAAAACCACACCACACTTGTACCTACTTTACAATGTTTTTCTCTTCTTTTTTATGTAAGTTATGTTATTCATGTATACTAAATATGGAAAAATAGACGGTTACCAACTGACACTTTTCAACCAAAGGTCTTCTGTGTAAGCCACGAACCGAATTGCTATCACAATGTAACTGTCATTGCAAAAATAAAGAATTAAATTTTTTTTATATATATAGTCTACTAAAAAAGCAACATGCTTGCTGCCAACTACTTTGCTGTTTGTATATATCACAAGATTGCAACTACACCTAACAATAAGGCTGATTTTGCAGAGAAATCTGTCCAAAACATGTGTAAAAACTGCATACCAATTTTGGTGCCAGTCTGAAAAATATACAGATTCAAATTTTTTAATTTATTTTTTATTTAAAACAGATTGAGGTTTAACAAAGGCAGAGAAGCAGACACCAAAATCACTGTTTGCCCAGGACACATGGAGACAACTTACTAACCAAAATTATATATACAGGAGTTCTTTTCCTAAACAAGTCATTGATTTGATTAGTATTAAACTAGAAAAATACCCCAAATTTCATCATTGTTAAATTAGTTAGATTTTAAATTAGTTTTTTTTTAATTCACCGCTATTTAGTGATTAATCTCAACATTTATAAAGTCAATACAGAGTAAGTCATTTTTTAATATAATAAATTAGTTAATCCTAATTGATATGCTAGTATAAATGTTATTTTGACTGGGATTATTTCGTTTTATCAGGAAAGAGGTGAACATGAAGGAGTTTTGCTTGACGCCTCCTGATCTTGTTCAATACAAAAAGGAACAACTCAGAATTGGTACGTAAATCGTTGTGTTGTGATAAGTAAAATAGCAATGTGACTAATATGCCTGACTATGAAACATTATGCAGGTAATGCTCTATTAAAACATGATTACTGGTAACTGTAACATGGCAACTGTGAGCAACAAGCAGTGCTACAAAACCAACAAAGAGGGTGGACAGGCTGAGTAACAGAAGAATAAGGAAATAGGTATGTGTGGCACTCAGTTAAACGCCACATTTTGGTGCCTCTGAGTAGGAAAGGACCTTGTTCACTGTACCAGTATCCCAATATTTAGAAGATAGTCCTCTTAGCACTCAACACTGTGGTATAAAGTGGTTTATATTCTGCCTTCAAACAAAAAAGTTTCAACACAGAATATCTTTCTAAAGACTCTTTGTGTCGAACGGCATTTGACAAAGACCTTGTTTGATGGCTGAATAAAATCACCATTATGCCATATTGCCATGTGCTCAGGGCCGTCTTTAATAACGAATGGACCCTGGGCAAGTGTTTGCTTGGGCCCCCTGTGCCCTGCCGCTCTCGCCCCTCACTCCCTGGTATGCAATCACGGCATCCATCCCAACGCAGTGGCGGTACTAAAGTAGAATGAATTTTATTGGGACCCCCAATTGCAAGGTTGGACTAAAGGTAGAACCCCATCTGTCGTGCAACTCCAACAATGCTTTGACAGCTGGGACTCTACCAATTTCCCATGCTTGCAGGGTTGTATTTAGCACTGAGCCATGTTAGTATGTTTGAATGTAAGCATGTGTTTGTATGGAGTATGTTTGTGTGAATGTGTTTGTATGTGGTACTGGAGTTTGAATGCAAGTGTGCATTTATGTGTAGTGTTTGTTTTTGAATGTAGGAGTGTGCTTGTATGTAGTGTTGACGTTTCAATGCAGGAGTGTGTTTTATATGTAGTGTTGAAGTTTGAATGGAGGGGTGTATTTGTATTTAAAGTTGCGGCTCAGATGCACAGGTACACACTCTGACGCACAAGCAGATACACAGATACATACACTGACTACATACAGATAAACAGGCACATACACTGACAGACACACTGACACAGGTACATATATTGACACACACACAGACACATACACTGGTAGACGTACTGACAGACATACTGACACAGGCACATATACAGACATACTGACACACAGACACATATACCGACATACTGACACACACACACAGACACATACACTGATCAACATACTGACACACATACACTGACAGAAATACTGACACCCACACACTGACAGATATACTGACAGAAATACTGACACACACACACAGGCACATACACTGACACACACAGACTGATATACTGACACACACACACACAGACATACTGGCACACAGACAGATATACTGACACATGCATACACATGCACTAACAGACATACTGACGCACTGACAGACATACTGACACATACACATACCGACACACACAGATATACACACACATATATACTGACACATAGACAGACAGACATACTGACACACACACACAGACATGCTGACACACACATACACTAACACACACATACACTAACACACACACACACATTAACACACAAACACACACACATACACACAAACACACATTTTTTTTTTTTTTAAATGTAATCCCCCAGCCTCCTTACCTTTTGGAGTGCTGGGGGGGATTCCCTGGGGTCCAGTGGTGCTGCTGGGCTCCTGGGCGGGAGGTGGCCGGTCAGGCAGGAAGGCGGGCGGCGAGGGAGCACTCACTGCTTCCTCTTCAGCTCCCTGGCGCGCCCAGCGTAGGGATACGGCGCCCGGAAGATGGCGTCATCTTCCGGCTCCGGCCTCCAGTGCGGTCTTGCGAGGGAGCTGAGAGGAAGCACTGAGTGCTCCTGGCGCCCGCCTTCCTCCCGACCGGCCACCCTTCCCGCCCGGGTCAGCGGGGCCCACGGGGCAGGTGCCTCGGGCCCCCCAAGAGAAACTGGGCCCGGGGCAGCTGCCCCGTTTGCCCCGCGTTAAAGACGGCCCTGCATGTGCTGACCGCTCTGTATTCTGCCCCCTGAAGGCAGACCTTTCACAGAGTGCAGCTGAAGAGCTCAATGCATAGTCCTGGTGCCAAGTCCTTTACTGCATATTGAAATCTCAAAGCAACAAGGTGTGCTTCAATGGTAACAAGCTGTGCTGCCAACCACGATACGTCTGTGCTGCCAAACACAACGCAGCACTGTGCCAATCAGCATCTACTCATAGAGTAGCATTGAGTCAATGCATCTCTATGGGGAGCATTCAATGCCTCAATGCAAAGCATGGAGATGCTGAACATTGGCACTGACCAAGGAAGCACCTCTAGTGGTGTCTGAGTGATTTACTGTTACTAGGCAGTAATGTAAACACTGCCCTTTCTCTGAAAAGGCAGTGTTTACATTAAAAAAAGCCTGAAAAGACAGGCTGTAGACACCAAAACCAAAAACATTAAGCTGTAGTTGTTCTGTTGATTATAGTGTCCCTTTAATATATAAAATACCATATTATGTCTGTGCAATTCTAATCCAGGCAGCGTTTTCTTAATTTATCCTGCTTAATTTATATACAGACATATGGGACATAAACTAACATGATATAACAGGAGGGACTAACCTGGGGCTATGTTCTGTCCAGAATGTTTCCTGATGTTACTACCCTACTGTGGACATAAGCTGAGATATCATACGTTTATACTGCTTACTGCTCGAGACAAGCATCATACATGCACTTGGCAGCATGCCTGGACATTCTCGAACAAGTCAACATGCATGCGTAGAACCTCTGATTTTTGTTATGAGACTGCAAAGGGATTTTTTTTACACTAACAGGGTTATTTAGTGAGAATGCAAAGTGAATTCAAAGTGAATTTCAAATTTAAGGCCAGAGCAGTTAAACTGAAAGCTCAGATGACTTAAATAATTTTTCCAGTTTGGCTACATAGACCTTAAATTTTAAAAACATTTTGAATTCTTAGTTTTATAAATAACCCTATAAAGTGATACCACACCCAACAGAGACACAACAGCTCCATCTCCCCCAAAACTCACACAGAGGTTCCTATCTCCATCCCTTCTGCACATAAACACTACAACCCCTATCCCTTCTGCACACACACAGTGCAGCCCCAATTCTCCTCAGATACACAATACAGCCCCTATTCCCCTGCAAACACACACTACAGCCCCTATTCCCCACAGAATACCCAATGTCCCCTATTCCATCAAACACAGCCTACAGACCATATTGCACACACCCTACAACTCCAATCCACCCAAAAACATTCTACAGTCATATCCCAGCCATACATACCCTACAGCTCCTATCCCCCAAGCATGCCCTACAGCTCCTATTTCCCAAGCATGCCCTACAGCTCCTATCCCCCAAGCATGCCCTACAGCTCCTATTCCCCAAGTATGCCCTACAGCTCCTTTTCCCCAAGCATGTCCTTCAGCTCCTATTTCACAAGCATACCCTACAGCTCCTATTTCACAAGCATACCCTACAGCTACTATCCCCCAAGCATGCCCTACAGGTCCTATTTCCCAAGCATGTCCTACTGCTCCTATACCTACCAAACACCCTCTTTACCTCCTATTCACCAAACATATTCCTCCCAAGTACACCCTACTGTCCTTAACCCCCCCCCCAACATACACTACAGCCCAATATACATAACCTACAGCTCCTATTTCTTCAGACTTACCCTACAGCCAGTGGCGTACACATGACCCATGGGGCCCCGGTGCGAAAATTGATCCGTGGGCCCCCCCCGCGCGCGGGCCGCAACACATGGTGGTGGGCACCTGGTTACAGGGCTGCGACCCCTGCGACCGCGGTATGTACGCCAGTGCATGCAGATGCACACACACTTAAAGGACCACTACAGACACCCAGATCAATTTAGCTCAATTAAGTTGTCTGGGTGTCAGGTCCCTCTAGTTTTAACCCTGCAGCTGAAAACATAGCAGTTTCAGAGAAACTGCTATGTTTCACTGAGGGTTAATCCAGCCTCTAGTGGCTGTCTCACTGACAGCCGCTAGAGGAGCACACTGAATGTCCATAGGAAAGCATTGAGTAATGCTTTCCTATGGGCGGTTTGAATGCGTGCGCGGTCGCATTCGGAGCTGAGAGGCTGAGGGATCCCCAGCGCCAAGGGAGTCCGGCGCTGGAGAAAGGTAAGTGCTGAAGACACACACACTCTCACTTACAGACGCATACACACTAGCTAACAGACACACATTTACTGACAGAGACACACTCAGCGACAGACATACATACACACTCACTTACAAAACATACACTCTCATTGACAAACACGCACTCACTAACAGACATCAAACAGACTCACTAACACACACACACACACTCAGTAAGACACACACACTAACACTCACTAGCAGACGCACACACTAACACTCACTCTAACACACTCACTCTAACACTCACACACACTAACACTCACTCTAACACTCACACTCACTCTAACACTCACACTCACTCTAACACTCACTCTCACACTCACTCTAACACTCACTCTAACACACTCACTAACACTCACTCTAACACACTCACTCTAACACACTCTCACTCTAACACACTCTCACTCTAACACACACTCACTCTAACACACACTCACTCTAACACTCACTCTAACACACACACTAACACTTTTTTAAATTTTTTTATTTAATCCCCCCAGCCTCCTTACCGTTTGGAGTTCTGGGGGATTCCCTGGGGTCCAGTGGTGCTGCTGCTGGGCTCCTGGGCGGGCGGTCGAGCAGGCAGGCGGGCGCGCGAGGGAGCACTCAGTGCTTTCTCTTCAGCTCCCTCGCGCGCCGCGTAGGGATGCCGGAGCCGGAAGATGACGGCATACCGCGACCCCTGCGACCCTGGTATGTACGCCACTGCCTACAGCCATATCCCCCACGCATCCTACTGTCTGTAGCACCCTACTGCAAACAGACCCCCCACACACACAACCCCATTGCAGCCTCTCTTCCTCACATGCAACTCTACAAGCATCATACTTCCTGGTGGCACAACCCCACCACACTCAACCCACAATTAACATCCCCAGAAATATGCATCATCACAAGTAGTCTACCCTCACACACAACACCAGCAGCAGCCACACCCCTTACACACAAACCCACAAGTAGTGTCTCCACTAATATGCAATCAGCCTCCACACATGCACACCATCCTCTCCCAGCACTGTCCTACTTATCAATTCACACACTTAGTCACATTCACCATCCAATCATATCCCAAACTAGTCGCATTCACCAACCCAGTCACATTCTTTGAATGTTTTGCATGCATGCAAATAGGAAGGAGGATGCATTGAGGAAACTGGCCTTGGAGCAACAATGACAGTAAAATCCAACTCTGCTCCTCGTGGGTATCTGTAGGGGACCTTGTTGTTTTCTGGAAGATGCATGATGGAAACGTGATGTCTGTTTGTAAACATGATGCCCACATAAAGAAAGTACCATACAAAGCCATGCTGTTTAGTGTGCTTAAAGGACCACTAGAGTCCTCACGGAGTCCAGCGTCAAAAAAGATCCCCATAGGAAAGCATTGAGTAATGCTTTCCTATGAGCGGGTTTGAATGCGCGTGCGCCTCTGGCTGCGCATGCGCATTCGGCTTCACTCGGAAGCTGACGTAGATGCAGGAGGAGAGGTCAGCAGTGCCAAGGAAGCCTGTCTGTTAATTAACCATTTCTTCGCCGTGGAACAGGGCCCTAGTCACCTAAGCGATGACTAGGGCTTTATAGCGTTAGGAATATGACTAGGGCTCTAACGCTATAGTGTTCCTTTAAAGCCCTCCTTCAGTTCATATCACTCCACAGTTACTAGAATGCAGCCATTGTACTTTGAGCCATAGTGGCTCCTGTGCTAAAAAGAGAAAATTAGTTTCTTCACTTTTAAGAGGTGATTCGGGAGCAGAAGTGACATTAAGTTATGCTTATTAGACTAAATTGTGATTTACACTGCAAGTGTTTATGAACTGTGAACTAGGTGTTCAGGAAGGGAGACTAAACTCCCCTGACATAAACAAATGTGCAGGTACTGCACTTTCCCCAGAATAATTGAAATGTTACGTGGCAAAATATGTCACAACATTTTATAGGAATCCAAAATGTTGGGATTAAAACCAAAAGCCAGATTTTTGAAAGTCCACATGTAAACATATTTCACTAAAATGACACCATTAAGCAATAAAGGTGAATCACATATAGGATCATTTACTAAAGTGGGAATTGTCAGAGAACTTAAAATTAATTTGAACATTTAGGTTAAAATACCTGAATTGGAAAAAATCTCAAAGTCAGCTAAACTTTCAGTTGAAATATATTTTGGCTACTGAATTTAATTCACTTTGCATTTCCAACAATTCTCATTTTAATGAATGCCCTTGACAATATTACTCTTATTTATTCCCTGTAAAACTTGCTTATATGGGATTCACACTCCCCGTCCTGAGCCACACATATGTGTCCAGCAGTATTTAAACCCAGTAGACCCATGGACCATTCAAGCAATGTATGTGGGAGCAGTGTGGGTGGCATTGTGGGAACTCTTGATATTTTGATCCAACATATTGAAGTAACGAGAGAAATAAATGTCCGACATATGTTTCATATTATCCCTTTACTGTTATTTTATCCTTTTTATATATTTAAAGGGTTTAACTAATTCTTTACTACTTATTGTTCCACAGTTTGGGGTTTATTCACTAAACATTGAATTTTAGTCAATGGAAAAGTCAAATGTAAAGTAAGGTAAATTAGCAAAACAGCAATTTTCAACCTAACTTCTGCAGTTTGGTTTCAATTTACTTTGATTATATTTTTAGCAAATAAACCCCTACGTCTCCATTGTAGTTTCTTTTTAATCTATGTCGCCAGGCTCAATGCTTTCTGATCATCATCGAAACGCAGTTCAAAAAGTTCTTGGTTAGGTTACCCAAGTTAATCATCGTTGCCTTAGGCCGTGGTTAAACTGCAATGTAATCACCCATTACCTAACAGAGAAAGCTTGGGTTCACAGAAGTAATGACAGATTATGGTTAAAATTGCTGCCACAGTGTGGTCCTTCTTTGAGGGCTATGGGTGAGGCAAGATGCTAAATATAGGATGTGAATGTTCTTAGTTTACATTAAATATGTTTCAGAGACTCATTAAAATGAATCTTTCTTACCCAGATTATAAAAATAACATTCTGAAGGAACGTGCTACGATGGAGAGGACTTTGACACCAAAGCACATTGATTTAGACCTAGGTAAGGAATGTCTTCTTTTTTCTCTTACCACTAATTGGTAGGCTCGAACAGAAGATAATACTTATGTCATGGACCTTGTAGATTTGCCAGAACAACAAAAGATATTTCAAAGTGAGCAAACTGCAGAGAGCATTAGCAAAACCACAGATTTTGATCCCCAGCTTGGAAAGTATCTCTAAGGGCTAAGCTCTGGAGGAGCTGGGAGGGAGGGATTTGGCTGATGATGAGTTACAGTTGCATTTCTTGGAGCAGGCATTGGGATGTGATAAGGAAACATAAGTTGGAAATCGGACATTTTAGTATTTTTAATAGAGTCATAATGATGGAAACAAACCGCATGCAGAATTGAGGTCACAGGAAAGAGCAAACTGCTCCCATGGAGCTTTGATTAACATAATAATAATGTGATTATTACATCAGACATCAGGTCTGTCAGTAAAACATAGTTTAAATCTTTCGAGTCTAGAAAAAAAATTGCATTTAATAAGATACTTTGTCCTCATTCTACATGACTTATATATAGCAATAAGAAGGGCATAACGGTTCTCGAAAGATGTGTCCCCCACGATTTTGACATCACAGATTATAGCAGTTTGTGTAGATATTTGGGGTTATTCAAAGTGAAGTCAAGGAAATGTCAAATCTAAGGCCAAATTAGTCCAAATGAAAACTGAATTGACTTGGAGAATGTCTCTTAGTCAGCTTTTTTGGCCTAAGTTCCAAATTCCCTTTCAATTCACTTTCAATTCCTGGCAATTCCTATTTTAGTGAATATCCCTGTTAGGGTTATTCACAATACAGAAAATTGTTGGCAATTGCCTTGGGGACTGCAAATTATTGGTAAAATAGCAAATGAATAGGTGAAAAAAATGCTGGGGCTGAGAATCTTTCAGTTCTGCTATTTTAGCAAAAGATGTTCAATTCCTGTGCTATTATTACTATTTATTTTTTTGTCAGGGAGTCAGGGACAGATGTATATCAAAATGCCCTTGGCACAATGACTGGGCGTTAGCTTCATTTATCTTAAATGGGCAGAAAGAGACTTTTGTTTTGGGGGTGTCACTAGAGGTGAGGCCAGTGAATGGCGCTATTTAATGGTTAAATGTCACAATAAGATTAAAATATTTTATCTACATAACATAATATATAAAACATATTTACTATAGTTGAAAAACACATTGCTGAGAGCAATGTTAAACAATCGCACCAGAAAATCAGAGCTCCTAGAAAAGAGGGACAACAATGTGGAAATGGGGGACAGGGGGCTTGTGTTCGCTTGGGGGATTGTATTGTAAATAAAGCATTTATTATCTGTTATTTATCACATGAATATTTATCCTGAACTAGTTAATAGGTTAATGCATTGAGATAGTCAAACTGACCATCGTGGTTCCGTACTTTTGCACGTGTCATATTTAGAATTCCGTAGGTCTACGTCTAATTTTATATTTCTTGTCCTTGCAGAGCTACGAAAAGAATACTGTAAGTAAGGATCACTAAAAACTGCTTCTGGCTGGCCCAGAAGCTGACACTTCCCATAAGAAGAGGAATTAAAAATGTTGCCAGTTTTTTATTGAAGCAGATTTTTTTTTTGTCATTCCTGTGAGGCTGTTTAAGAGCAATGGATCAATCACCTCCACATTGTGCTTCAACATGAAAATGACACTTTAAATGTCTTAATGGAATATGTACCTTGAGGCAACTTCCATTGCCCTCTACACTTTGCAATTCCCGATTAAGTATTAAAAACAAAAAATCAAGATTAAAAACAGCAAAACACTTTCATTATTATCACAGTAATGTTAGAACTGCTTTTGGCTATATCTACTTTTAATGATGTATCAGATACATTGTACATAGCTGACTTCTCTTTGCCACTGAAATATATTTTATTTTCCATCTAAAAAGTTTAGCTTAGCTACAAAACTGATTTCTAAGCAATCCCTTAAAGAAACACATCATCTTTTGAAATCTAAGTTAATGGTTCCCCCCCTAGTACACAAGGCACATCACCTGACCAATCAATAATGTAAGCATATCCTAATTCTGTTCCCGTAAAGATACTGGCAAATTTCTATGTTTCTAAATCCTTTACTGACAGTGTGACTTGAGAACTGAGTTGGCATTGAGAGTGTGCACAGCCCTATTCAACTGAGTGTTAATTTTAGGAAAATGCTCGAGTGTATTATCTATAGATCAGCAGTAGGCAACCTTGAGTTCTCCAAACATTGTGGTCATGTCCCTTGATGAATTACCAGCATTATGACTGTAAAAAGCATTATGGGAGATGTAGTCCATGTGTCTTTCTGAGGTTGCCTATCCTTGTTATAGATGTGTTTATGTACATTATAAAATACTAATTCTTTAAAAAGCCAAGTGCAATCAAAAGGTGTCTTGTGTATTGTAATGATGTATGGATCACTATAGTGTAATTGTATGTTCCTTTTAGTGGAGCAGTTCATTAGCCAATAGTTTTGTAAATATGACCTTTTTAAGTATTTTTTTTATAAAATCGCAGAAGATCAACGGAAAAGCCAAACTGAGATTTAAATGAAAAAAAAAATGACCATATACAACATGTAAATATGCCACAGACAAACTTTTAAATTGTAGCAACAATCACAAATACTTTATAGATACGCATAATAAAAAGAAATAATACTATGAGGAAATGTTTATATTGTGGGTCTGTTCATTTTCAAGAAAAAGCAAGGCATTGCAAGATCAAGGAAAAAAGCAAGATATGGATTGAGTCTTTCATCAGATCAGTGCTGAGCAGACGTATGTGCCATCATGACAATATTTTGATTTGAGATCTACATTAGTATTGTAATGTAGATCAGAATGGAGCGAACATACTTGGCTGCCATATAATTATGGTTCTATATTATACTGTTGGTGGTCAGATTACCATTTAGGACTTTTAATAGTTGATAAATCGATTTTTCGAAAGTGTCTTAAGCAATGATTACATACCACAATCTATTTTTTACATTGCTTTTCTTATGGTACCAAGGCTGAAAGAAAAAAATAACTGATGAGTATATTCAAACAACGCGTTTTTTAGTCAGAAGTGATATTTTTTAATAATATTTACTGAAATAAGTATATACCTATTAAAAGGGTGATCACTTATTGTATTCTGGTATATTATTGCTGGTTTCTAAAAAAATAAAATAAAAAAATAAACCTTTAGGTGCCAAATGTATAGACAATTTCTATATATTTGTAATACAACTTCTGGTCCGTGAATTTGTGCTTTTTTTTTCCAGGTTTGGGATAACTGCACAGACACATTTTTGTTTACAGAATTAAGAACTGTATGACTACAGGATGTGATAGCAGTCACTGCAGGCTCAGGGCTGTTATGTGGTCAGCAAGAGATAAAATGGATATAGTATATTGAGTGGTGGCGGGTGTATAGTAGAGAATTGTTTATGTAAGGCAATTTTACCGTTTCCCGGTCTGTTTTCACGTAAATGGTAAAACAAGGCTGCCAGCAAAGCTCCAGCAGATTATTTTGCTGTAAGTCTCCCATAGTACTTTGCTAAGAATAGGATTAGTAAGAATTATGAGAATTGAAGTCCCTGATAGAATGTTTACTTCCTCCAGACAGTGATAAAAAGCTGTTTCATTCCATGTGCATTGGAGTGTAGTTCTCATAATGCTCAATCACACTTTTGGGAATTGTAGTCCTCAAAACAAGTGGCCAGTCCCTGCAGGTTTCGTAGTTATGTGCGTCAGTATTAATTTTTTTTTAAATTACCGCTATATTTCTGTTCATAAGAAATTACCAATTTGTTTTCATTATATGTGATTTACTCTTAATTTACTCTTCCATACCAAATTTTGGATAATATTTTGATATCTGCTAAAGGATGATACCAATTCACATGAATGCAGATGACTGGTAGGCAGTGATGAGTCATTTTGTAAGCCAATATTTTGTATAGCAAAACACATTAATACATTTCTTCTCAAAGTTATGTGCAAAACCTTTTCCCAATGTTAACAGAAGAGCAGACTTTGTACCAGATTAAACAATTATGCCCATGTTGTTGTTGGGCATGCTTAATTTAGTATGGTATGAAAGGAAGTTTAGAGATGTTTTACCATCATAAAAGAGGGATTAAAGCAGAATTAATCCGAGTTTGGTGAAATGCAAATATATTTACTGATGCACATGGTGTGAGATTTCTGCAATAACAAAAAGACTCATCTCATTGAAGACTGGTGATTTTTAATTACAGGCATCCCAAAACTATGAGGGTTTTGTAACCTTGTATCGGGACAGAATCTGTCAGTATAGACTATCATGCCTGTTAGGACTGGGCAATTTTAAAAAGAAACACATTCTTACTCCATCCAAGGTAGTCCTAATTCCAGTACTAGGATGTCACTGTAAATGTCCTGCTCTGTTTTCTGTATTTAACATATTCATCGTATCATCACCTCTTGTGAATTCATATACAAACATGTTAATGAGCATTTTCAATCATTGTAGATGCATTCCTTGTGTACTGAAGATAGTTAAGCACTTTAGTGTATGCTTTGAAATTTATAATTGAGTTAATTAGATAATTCCCCAACTGTGTCCTGTGTTGATTACATTCTTGTCAAATGACTGGTTCTGTATTATGATGAACAACCAATAAATACAATACAAAAAAAAAAGCATCATAGTCCTGAGAATATTTTGTTCAAAAAATGTTTTCTATACCTCAAATTTCTTAATGTACGATTTAGAAGTGAAGCATGATGCCATCTTTAAATGTACGGAGAAATTTGTAAAAGGTGGAATGTATGGAGACGCCATGGAACATGACATGCTATGTCACGGAGGTTAGATTCCATAGAGGCCTAACCTAGAAAAGACATGAGGTTCCAAGGTGGCCTTCCATAGCCCAAGACATGAGTTTTCATAGAAGCCTTCTTTAGAACAAGATAGAAGGTTCAGTAGAGGCTTTCCATAAAATAGGACACAAGGTTCCATAGAAGCCTTACTTAGAATAAGATATAAGGTTTAATAGAGGTTTTCATAGAAAAGGATATGAAGTTTCTTTGAGGCCTGTACTTAGAAGAAGACATGAAGTTCTACAGAGACTTTCAAAAGAACAAGACAGGTGATTCCATAGAGACCTTACATAGAATAGGATACAGGGCTCTGTGGCTATACAAAGACTTGGACATGAGGTTCTGCAAAGGCTTTCCATAACAAGGGCAAGCTTCCAGAGAGGCCTCCATAAAACAAATTGAAAACTCCCACGGAGACCTTATAGAACAAGGCATGTTCTTTAGTATTAAACAGACATACTTTAAATTAGGCTCCATACGGTATAAGTAGGCTTTCCTTTCTAAATAAATGCACTTCTTTGTTTCTTGATCATGATAAATCAAGAATAAGTTGTATATCAATTTTTTTTAGTAAGTTGTTTGCTACGAGCACCTTGCATTTATTAACCAAGCTTTGGTGAAGAAATAAACAACCGAGAGCAATAGTACTTATAAGCAGGGCCGACCTGAGGTCTTTAGGTGCCCCATGTGAAAAATCCTCACTGTGTCCCTCCGTGGCCACACCCTTTCCCTGGCCACGTTAAAGGGTAAAAAAATTGCTATGCCTAAGCCAATATATATTGGCCAATTATAGCTGATCTGAAAGGAGTTGAATTTGAGATTTTTTTCCAGTTGAGCTGTTTTGGAATAGTTTAGTCCTTACCGTGCCAATAGATTAGAAGAAACAGCTGTGTGGTGCTTCACATCTCCTCATCTCCTTGTGCATTTTCCTGACCCTCCTTGTGTGTCTCTCTTAATACCCTCTTTCCACCTTGCGTGTCTCTTATTTCCTTTTACCTTCTTGCCTCTTAGTCCACTGTTACTTCTTGTATATCTCTTAACCCCGCTTATATCTTGTATGTCTTAAACCTTTTGTTGTCCCCTACATAACTACACAGTCACATTCATAGATGCCTAGATATGCAATCTATGACAGGGTGGGCAGGTTGGTAGATGCTGGTGTAACACCAGCTATGCTCAGCAGTTTCTTTGCCAGCCACAATCTGGGGGAGTTTCTGTGGTTGGGACTTGGGAACTCATCAAGGCTGCATTTCAATGCAGCCACTCAATCTCCTATCTTGCTCTAAGCTGCACCTGCAAAGGCCCCTGTGTCCCCGGTCATCCAGGGTTGCTTATACAGGTTCCCTGGAGGGCCAGTGGTGAATAGTAGAGAATGCTTAATGCAGATCATAATAACTTCTCCTTCATGGTTCCGATGCTCAATGTTGAGTCACATTGAGCATGTGACTCAACATTGCGCTCTGACTCACTAACTGAGCATTGGAACTGCGAGGGAGAGGTTATTATGGTCTAATTGTGCCTCCCGCTGGTGCGCACCATTGGACCAACAAGAAATAATTTTCATATAATATCCCAGTCTCTGCTTGTGGGCTGTATTTGTCACCTGGCGCCCCTGTTGCCAGCACAGCTCACACATCCCAAAGGCCAACACTGCTTATAAGAACTGCCCAGGATTTTATTGTTTGATACTTTTCTTTCTAATAACCTGTTTTATCTTTACCATACACCTGTCACTGGGAATCAACAGTGCCCTATTATGAATTATCCTCATATTTTGTTTTCTAGTCATTGTGCTGCAGCTTCTAGGAAAGGCTTAAAGTCTAGCCTCCTGCCCACAGACAGTTAAAAGATGCCCCACCATGGGGGCATTTGTTGGGGGGGGGGCTTTTTTCTTTTTTTACAACAGTGAGCAGCCACTGGCTGCTCACTGTTTAGTAGACATGCTATTCTCCCTCATACTATTATGGGGGTCATATTGACCCCCATAGAGTGAGGGAAAACATGGGGGGCTTAGGAAGTGGTGGGGAGCTCAGTTCTTTGCCTCTTCTATGTTTACATATTACAGCGAGGGAGCTGCGCACCGTTAGTTCCTTCCTTGTAATAAACCAAACGAACGAATGAAGAGGTCTTTGTTCATTCGTTTGAAATTTCTATTAATTTATTCGTCTTTCTGACGAATGAATGGAGGAAATTCCTGTTCCCATGCCCAAGTGTTTAACTGGACATGCGCGGGAATTTCACAGCACTATCTAGTGTGGGCAGATGATGTGTTCCACAGGGCCTTCATCTACCCGCACAATGATGGCGGCGCCCAGGGCCTAGGTCCAGGCACAAAATAAAGATGCAAAAATAGGTCATATGGGGGGCTTAGGGGCATTTGGACGTGACTGGGGGGGACAATTAGATGTAGTGGATTCGAGAGGGGGGTTAAATAAAACTGGATTAGGCAGGCCATGAGAGTGCCGCTTTAACTCCTAAATGGCAGAGATTTGAGCAGCAAGACTGCAGGGACATGATCTATACACTAAAAGAGCTTCATTAAGGTACAGTTGTTTTGTAGAATCCACCTTAATGTATTGCTGTCCCTTTAAGAAATCATCTCACTAGATCGTTTCTGCTCTCCTGCAGTGGGCATGTATTAGTTGAAAATGTCCAGCCAGTTCCCGTGTTGTTGTACGTGCCAGATGTAGCTCTTGGCTGAGTTATAACCATGCCATTTGTCTGGGCCTGGTCTCTCGTCTTCCCCCCTGCCTCTCTGTAAAATTACAGCCTAGTACAGAAGCCACAAGAAGAATATTTCTATCCAATATTATGGACATTTCTATTTCATGTCTATGGCAGTGGATGGGGAAGCAAAAAAGGTCAAGTATATCTGATAACTGTGATTTCTTTTTCTCCAATAAATCTGGTACAGAGTTGGTTAACAACAAACCCTCCTCACATAGACTATTACTTACTGGATTTCTCGGTGATTCATTGTACACACCCTTAGAGCTGGAAAGGCTTTGGCACATTTTCATTGAATTCTATTTATTCTGTGGATTTAAACACCTGCCGTCCGACATTCCACAGAATCAAAATTCTATTTCATGCTGATATGTATTCCTGAGCAGAATACAGCATTCTTGCTAAACTATGTAATATGTCACGCAGAAAGCAAGTGCAGCATTCTTGGCGATTTGCTTTCACATATTATATTTGGCGCACACGCTCCGTTGAGATAATTTTTCCATTACTCAGGTTTTAGTAATCGCATTGAATATTTTCCACAAAAAAAAATGCAAATGAAAAATATACAAATAATAAAGAAATAAAATACCTATTATGAAAGCTACGGTAGATTAGAAATTATTGCATCTAAATGAGAGGCATAACTAAAAACCATGGGGCTCCTGTGTGAAAATTGCCCTGGGGCCCCCCATCCCATACATCCCCACTAGTGATGTCGCGAACATAAAATTTTCGGTTCGCGAATGGCGAACGCGAACATCCGCAAATGTTCGCGAACAGGGCGAACCGCCATAGACTTCAATAGGCAGGCAAATTTTAAAACCCACAAGGACTCTTTCTGGCCACAATAGTGATGGAAAAGTTGTTTCAAGGGGACTAACACCTGGAGTGTGGCATGCCGGAGGGGGATCCATGGCAAAACTCCCATGGAAAATTACATAGTTGATGCAGAGTCTGGTTTTAATCCATAAAGGGCATAAATCACCTAACATTCCTAAATTGTTTGGAATAACGTGCTTTAAAACATCAGGTATGATGTTGGATCGATCAGGTAGTGTAAGGGTTACGCCCGCTTCACAGTGACAGACCAAACTCCCCGTTTAACGCACTGCAAACAACCGCAAACAGTCCATTTGCACAACCACAAACTCCCCATTTGCACAAGGTTGGATACCAAGCTAGCCATGTCCCGTTCCTTGTCCTCACTGATGTCATTGAAGGTCTCTTCCTCCACCCAGCCACGTACAACACCAAGGGTCCCCAAAAGGTGACAACAAGCCCCCTGGGACGCCTGCTGTGTTTGGTCTTCCACCTCCTCAAAGCCACCTTCCTCCTCTGACTCCTCTTCTTCAGACTCCTCTCTCTGCGTTGCCTCTCTCTGCATTATTATAAGGTGTGTTAAGTAGTACTATTCCTATCAGTTTAATCCCTGTTACGTCCCCTATCAGGGGACGTGTATATGGCATCGATTTTAGGAACCGGGAGATGGAAAAAGATGCTTGGTCGGTCCTCCTTCTTCAAATTTGGGGCACTGCGCGTGCAATCTAATGTGCCACCAGATAGGAGTGGTGTGTTAAGTAGTACTATTCTTATCAGTTTAATCCCAATGTCACGACTACTAGTGTGGTCCAGCACGCAGAAACTATGTAAACATATACATAGGCAAGAAAAGGAAAATAAAAGGACAGAGCGTAAACCGGACCTTAGAATGGCCGGACTAATATGCTAGAGACAGAGAATGGTCAAAGGGAAAGCCGAGGTCAAGGAAGCCAGAAAATACACAATACCGTTTACACAAGCCAAGTCAGGGAAACCAGAATTCAGAATAACCAGGGAAAAGCCAAGATCAGGATACCAGGAAATCAGATTCACAATGATAAAGCACTCTCAGGAAACCAGGTACAGGAAACCACCACAGGGCAAGGTACTGGGGTGAGCTAGGGATTTAAATATCACGCGGCGGGCCAGCAGCCACGACACCCTGTTACGTCCCCCTCATCAGGCCTTTTTTAGTCGAATGTATCGCCCACTGTCAGTCCCTTCGGGATCCATCCCTCATTCATCTTAATAAAGGTGAGGTAATCTAGACTTTTTTGACCTAGGTGACTTCTCTTCTCAGTGACAATACCTCCTGCTGCACTGAAGGTCCTTTCTGACAGGACACTTGAAGCGGGGCAGGCCAGAAGTTCTATCGCAAATTGGGATAGCTCAGGCCACAGGTCAAGCCTGCACACCCAGTAGTCAAGGGGTTCATCGCTCCTCAGAGTGTCAATATCTGCAGTTAAGGCGAGGTAGTCTGCTACCTGTCGGTTCTCTGAGGGTAAACCCCGAAGGGCTGTGGTGATGCGTAGGACTTAAAAAGCTCCGCATGTCCTCCATCAACAACACGTCTGTAAAGCGTCCTGTCCTTGCCGGCATGGTCGTGGGAGGAGGAGGATTACTTTCACCTCTTCCCCTGTTAGATTCCCGTTGTGCTGTGACATCACCCTTATACGCTGTGTAAAGCATACTTTTTGATTGATTTTGGAACTGCTGCATCCTTTCCGACTTGCCGTAATTCGGTAACATTTCAGGCACTTTCTGCTTATACCGGGGGTCTAGTAGCATGGACACCCAGTACAGGTCGTTCTCCTTCAGCCTTTTTATATGAACAGGCACGACAGCATGAAAGACCCCATTTGCACAAGGTTGGATGCCGAGCTACTCATGTCCTGTTCCTCATCCTCAGTGATCTCACTGAAGGTATGTTCTTCCCCCCAGCCACGTACAACACCACGGGTACCAGATAGGTGACAACGAGCACCCTGGGATGCCTGTTGTGGTTGGTCTTCCTCCTCCTCCTCAAAGCCACATTCCTCCTCTGACTCCTCTTCCTCACAATCCTCTTACAGCATTGCCGCAGGTCCAGCAAGCGATGCTGATAAGGCTGTTTCTGGTGGTGATGGTGACCACAACTCTTCCTCTTCCTCTTCACGCTCATCTACGGCCTGATCCAGCACTCCTCGCAGGTCACGCTCCAGGAAGAAAACAGAAGGTATGATGTCACTGATGGTGCCTTCGGTGCGACTGAATAGGTTTGTCACCTCCTCAAAAGGACGCATGAGCCTACAGGCATTGCGCATGAGCGTCCAGTAACGTGGCAAAAAAATTCCCAGCTCCGCAGAGGCTGTCCTAGCACCCTGGTCATACAAATACTCGTTAACAGCTTTTTCTTGTTGGAGCAGGCGGTCGAACATTAGGAGTGTTGAATTCCAACGTGTCGGGCTGTCGCAAATCAAGCGCCTCACTGGCATGTTTTTTCGCCACTGGATATCTGAAAAGTGCGCCATGGCCGTGTAGGAACGCCTGAAATGGCCACACACCTTCCTGGCCTGCTTCAGGACATCCTGTGGCCTGCCTGCAAGTCGTGGCGGTGTCACCAACTCCTCTGCCGAGCCACGCATTCCATGCTTGGCAGCCGTCAGCAGGTTTACCCAATGCGCAGTGTAGATGATATACCTGCCCTGACCATGCTTTACAGACCAGGTATCAGTGGTCAGATGGACCCTTGCCCCAACACTGTGTGCCAGACATGCCATTACTTCCTTTTGCACAATCGAGTACAGGTTGGGGATTGCCTTTTGTGCAAAGAAATTTCGTCCGGGTACCTTCCACTGCGGTGTCCCAATAGCTACAAATTTTTTGAACGCCTCAGACTCCACCAGCTTGTATGGTAAAAGCTGGCGGGCTAAGAGTTCAGTCAAGCCAGCTGTCAGACGCCGGGCAAGGGGGTGACTTTGTGACATTGGCTTCTTACGCTCAAACATGTCCTTGACAGACACCTGAGTGTGGGCAGATGAGCAGGAACTGCTCAAGGCGAGAGACGGAGGGGCGGATGGTTGAGAGGGGGCAAGGAGGACAGCAGTGGTTAACGTGGCTGAAGTGGTTAATGTGTTGATCCCATAGGCGTTTGTGATGTGCGATCATGTGCCTTCGCAAAGCAGTTGTACCTAGGTGGGTGTTGGACTTCCCACGACTCACTTTCTTTTGGCACAGGTTGCAAATGGCATCGCTGTTGTCAGAGGCAGACACACAAAAAAAATTCCACACTGCTGAGCTCTGGAATGACGGCATTCTGGTGGTGGCAACAGCATGCGTTGATTGGCGTGCTGTCTGGCTGACCCCGGGTGCCGATGCATGCTGTCTGACTGTGCCACTAGCTCCTTGCGACGACCTCCCCCTGCTTCCAACTCGTCTCCTCCTCCTCCTCTCTGTCTCCCCATCTGAACTTTCCCCCTGTTCTTCTTCTCTTCTAGCGGGCACCCACGTGACATCCACGGACGCATCGTCATCATCAACCGCTTCACTTGTATCTGACAACTCAGCAAAGGAAGCAGCAGCGGGTACAACATCATCACACCGTACGTCCATGTGTGTAATGCTGCCTGACTGAGACATATCCCTGTTATCTACATCCTCTGGCAATAATGGTTGCGCATCACTCATTTCTTCCAACTGATGTGTAAATAACTCCTCTGACATACCAAGTGAAGCTGCTGTGGTGCTAGTGTTGGTGGTGGCGGCAGGCGGGCGAGTGGTAACTTGAGAGGTGCCCGAAGCTAAGCTGGAGGAGGATGGTGCGTCAAGGTTCCGAGCGGAAGCTGTAGAAGATTGGGTGACCTGTGTTAGCCAGTCAACTATGTCCTCAGAACTTTTCTAGTTCAGGGTACGTGGCCTCTGAACACTGGGCATTACTGTAGGGCCAAAGGGAATCACAGCATCATGACCACGACGGCCCCTGCGGGGTGGCCTGCCTCTGCCTGTCATGTTTTTTTCGATTAGTGGTACTATGCGTGCAAGCTACTGTGACAACAGATATGAGTGGCACTGTGCAGTGGCAGAAGTTGGCAGAGTAGAAGCTGTAGGCCTGATACACACGCTTGCAGACAACTAACTGCTATTCAATCTATTACAGTCAAAATTTTATTTTATTTTTTTACATGTACACTACTGTTACACCAGATATGAGTTGCACTGGTGTGACACTTTGCCCTGGCAGGCCCTTAAACGCACACGTGTGAAGGAAACTGACTGCTATTATATTACAGTCCAAAAAGTTTTTTTTTGTTAAATGCAAGCTATTGTGACACCGGATATGAGTGGTGGCACTGGGCAAGTGGGCACAGTATATGCTGTGAGCCTGACACACACGCTGGCGACAACTAACTGCTATTCAATCTATTACAGTCAAAATTGTAATTTTTTTTTTTAATGTACACTACTGTTACACCAGATATGAGTTGCACTGGTGTGACACTGTGCCCTGGCAGGCCCTGAAATGCACACGCGTGAAGGAAACTGACTGCTATTATATTACAGTCCAAAAAGTTTTGGTTTTTTTAAATGCAAGCTATTGGGACACCAGTGAGTGAGTGGTGGCACTGGGCAGGCCCTGAAACGCACACTCGTGAAGGAAACTGACTGCTATTATATTACAGTCCATATTACAGACGAATAGGGGAACTATTCGCCAGCGAACCGTTCGGGACATCACTAATCGCCACCCCTCCCACACATGCAGACAAACAGATACACATGAAGACACACACATAGACAAACACATACAGGCACATATACATGTAGACACACACATATATATACAGACACACACATACATACACATATATACAAACACATACTCACAAACATACATACAGACACACATATACACACACAAACACACACATACATACAGAGACCCATACATACAGACACACACACACATACACACACAGACATGTAGCCACACACACAGACATGTAGCCACACACACATACATACAGAGACACACACATACAAACAAACAGACACATACATACATAAATACAGACATAAAAACACACAAAGACACACACACACACAGACACACATACACACACATATATACATACAAGCACACACACATACAGACACACACATACACACAGATACACACACATACACATACACACAGAGACACATACACACTGACACACATACATACAGAGACACATACAGACAGACATACACACACACACACACACACACAGAGACATACATTCAGACACATACACACATACAGAGACATATATACACTAATACACACATGCAAAATGTTTAAATCACCCTCCTGTTTCCTACCTTTTACGTGCAGGAGGGTGACTTTCCCTGGGGTCCAGTGGCTCAGCCTGATGGGAGTTCCTACTCTGACTCCCCCCTCTCTTTCCTCCTCCTGCGTGGCTCCCAGTGGTTGCTGGGAGGAAGTGACCGGGGCAGTCACTTCCTCTCAGCGTCTAATGTCATCACAGGGGGCCCAGTCGCGCTGTTAAAGCACAGCAGCGTTGACCAGGCCCCCTGCAAATTAATTTCAATTGGGTGGCCCTAACAGCATGGGCCACCCAATGAGCCCCTCAACGTGTGGCCCCGGCGGTTATACCGTGCGGGCCGGGGCTGCAACACATGGCCGGAGGGCACCTCGGTCTCAGGGGTCCGGGCCCCCTGGAGTGACGGGCCCAGTTGCAACTGCGACCCCTGGGACTGTGGTAGTTCTGCCACTGCTCTAAATATAATCTTCATAGTCAATAATTTCAGTTAATGACCCTTTCTGTGGGTGGAACAGTGGAGGTTCCATTTGGTGCAGCACCCCCTAGTATTTAAAACTTTAACAACCACCACTGGGATACAAAGTAATCATCCAAATGGAATGTATTCACATGAGGACTTTCTGAAATTCAAGGCATAATGTTTTCTGATTGAGGAACCATTCTCCTGGAAGTAGTGTGGCTGATACAATATAGATAACTTGGCTCCACACTTTGGGGAATTGTTCTCATGCATCAAGAGAAGAGATCTCTGGGTGGCTGGCAGAGTACCAAACCCTAAATGCTCAGCACACATAAATTTCATTGTTGTGAGTAGAATTACAATTATCCAAGTCAATCACTACCATCCACGGTTGGAAGGATTCACATTTGAGAACACAGAAGTATACTTAATGCATTATCATGAGGCAGTAGGGGTTGTGGACTATGGGCCTCTGGATTTTTTTTTTTGTAAATATAATCTTTATTGTTTTATCAACGGTGATTTTCATGTTCTCAAGAAATACAGAAAATACAGTGCAGGGATTGCAGGTCCTTTATATAACTAAGAGGGAAGTGCAATAGTCATAGAAAATCACGACATTATGTGGGCATGCAGGCCCCAAGAATCTGAGGACTCGCAGGTCCCTTATTGAATCACATTTCCAGTATAGAAATGGTAGTTTATTGCTGGGGTTTTGATATTCTCTCCCCGCACTTTCCTTTTTGTGGGTATGCTGTTTGTTATTTTCTACTTAGATATAGCCTGGAATTTCAGGTGTGTCAGCGCGGGGCTCGTAGGTCCCCAGAGGGCCGTGCAAGGGTTAGCGGGTAAGGTGGGTCTACATGGTCTTGTAAGGTGGGTATACATTTGGGCTAGCGGGTAAGATGGTCTTGTAAGGTGGGTATACATTTGGGCTCGCAGGTCCCTGTCAGTTATGGACTCGTAGTACTCCTATCTCGTCTTGTGACACTCTGTTATGTTTGC